TACAGTCAATTTGGCTTTAACAGATTTTGAGTATATTCTAATACTCCTAGTAGTTTTTTTTTTAAAAAAAAATTAAAATTCCTAGTAGTTATCGGTACGTAGGATAATTCTGTTGTGAGTTCACGAGGAGGCAAAAGGAAAAGCATTGGGGTCCATTATATTCCAAAATAATTCACGACCTATTAGTATTACTAGTATAATAATAATATGATCGTATATGCATGACAGCAAATTAAGAGATCAAAAGAAATCAAGGCGCAGCGAGCTGGAGCTACGATCTCTGTCACGACTTCTATTCTTTGGCTGAATAAAATATAAAATGCACTACACATGTTCTATGCGATAAATTTAACTCAAAAGGCATTGAGGAAGAATCGATCTCAAGTCATCTATATAAATAATCATTCTCCAAACCAGCTAAGTCATATATATATATTACTTTTATTTAGAAGTGGCACTTCTAAAGGACGTACACAGCAACAAATACTTGTACAAAAAGTAATATTTATTGTACCATAATTTAATGTCAAGTCATTTTCTTATTGGTAAATAGTACCACTTTTCCTATAATGTTAACACGTATTAAGCCTTTGTTGTTTTCCTTTCTAGGCTGACACATCTTTAACTACTGTTTTTCAATTCTCCTTTTTCAATCTTCGATTTTCATTTGTCTCTCTCCTCTCACTTCCATGGATCTTTGTTACTCCCTCCGTTTCACAAAAAATGACCTGGTTTGACTTGGCACAGAGTTTAAGTAAATAAAGAAGACTTTTGAATCTTGTGGTCCTAAATTAAAGTTATGTCAAATGTACAAAATTGCCCTTAATCTTGTGGTTTTAAACATGCCACGTGGAAAGCAAAAAGTAAAATGTTACCAAAAAAAGAAAAAGGTCATTCTTTTTTAAACTGATTAAAAAGGAAAGGAGGTCATTCTTTGTGAAACGGAGGGAGTATTAATTTTCTCTCTCTATTTTGATTTTCTTCTCAGAAAAATTTAATTTGATATCTCACTATTTGCTTTTTAAAAAACAAATTTTCAGTTTTGGCTCGACTGGCTTCCAAATCTCCTACTCTGATTATTCACACATGCACTAATTTTATTTACTTTCAAATATTTGTATTTTAGTTTGTGAACTCAATTAAAAATAAGTTTTTGAGCTTAAAATATATTTTCCCGAAATTGAAGCTTAATGTTGGATTAAATATAACAGAGTTACGGAATCTTTCGAAATTTGAAGTTTGCCGTTTTGGATATATCAAAAGAAAACTTTATTGAACTGAATTGTGATGGTTTGTAAATGATTTGGAGACCATTTGAGCTTTATAATGTGGCTTCTTTTGTCTGATCTAGACGAAGAAAGTCCGAAGCTTCAAAATTTGACTTTTAAATTGGGTTTCCCCAAATTGTGTATTATTTAGATCATGTGTTGTTGGATTTTATTAGAGATCTTTTAGTGAGATTAAATATCAAATTTGAGAATGTTTGGTGAAGTTAGTGTGCTTTTGACTAAGATTTCACCAGCAACTTTGAAATAGAAAATTGAACATTTGATGGTTTTTGTCGGTTTTAAGTGACAGAGAGAATATCTCATGAAAAGCATATGGTGTTTACAGGGCATATATCACGGCTATTTTGACAGTTCTTTGGTGTTTGAAATATTGTTGTACAGAACCAAAGGAAAATTATGAGAATAAACAAGATGATATGTACATTTGAAAAAATGACTAATATGATGCTTTAGCAGAAAAATATTTCACCTTCTTTTTCATTTGAAATGGTTGATTGCATAGCATTTTTTACATGTTAATGGATTTTAAGTATGTACTCGGTCTGAAAGTCACTGATTTGTTTGCTCTGATTTTGCTTTCTTGGAGACTTGGGAGTGTTTTTTCATGATTGAAGAACAAGAAGTTACCTTTTCGAAAGTTGATGGAGAATAGGGCTCCCTCAAAATTCTTCTTAAAAATTACTTATTTTACTTGAGAGAGCTTATATCAGTTTATCATATTTAGCACTTTGTACCAAGATTATCTTCCCCACACAGCTTTTTATTTGGTCAGTTAGACAATGAATCAGATACCTTATACAGAACAGGACCTTGACAACAACTCTTATGACCAGTTATTTGTGGACAATATATGCATGTTTGATGTATAAAAAGAAATAGAAAAGTTTGAGTTAAGAATGATAAAGAAGCAGCAAAGCAAAAAGGGAAATCGGAACAATCACCATTTTTCCTCCTTGGGAATCGTCAGTGGGAACTTGAAAGATGGAAAAAAGACGTGTGAGTTATTACTGTGTTTAAACGGAAACCCACACCTGGGCATGTTAGTAGCTCAGATTAGAATCAAATGACGGAACTATCCTTGATGGTAACTCTGTGACAACAGTAACAACTAGAAATATTTCAAAGATAAAAAAAAATTAATTGAATCTCGAAAATTTTATTAGTACCACATAAATTAAGAAAGAAGAAATGAGCTCTATTATTTGAAAGCTGCGTAAAAATATTACAAATCATATGATAATAATTGACAATTTAAAATTTTAAAAGACTTTAATGCTTTATACTTATTCTATTTCCACTTTGGACAAAAAATATCCTCCCCATATGCATATTTTTTAAACAAAAAGTGGGACCCATTATTGATGTATTGAAGGATACTTTGGTAATTTTCCTACGATGAATTCGTTTTTTTTTTAATTTTTTAAATAAATTTTATAAAATATTATAAATCAGGATAATAATTTACTTAAATATTCAAAAGATATAAAAATATATAAAAGATCTGATGGACTCTTCAAATTTTATCGGTCACACATAAATTGGGAGAAATGAAATTATATATATTATTTAAAAAGTACTATAAATTACAGTAATTAACAATTAGAAATATTTCAAAGACAAAAAAAATTGATTGAATCTTGAAATTTTATTAGTACCACATAAATTGAGAAAGAAGAAATAACCTTTATTACTTGAAAATTGCATAAAAGATATTACAAATCATACAATAATAATTAGCAATTTATAATGTTAAAAGACATAAAAAATTTTTACCATAGTTAACAATAATTAAAAATTTGAATTATTTAAAATTAATATTAAAGTTTGATTAACTCTTTAATTTTATATGTGTCATATAAATTGAAATAAAAAATAATACATATTGAGCCCGTGCTAGCGCGGACACCGATATCTAATATATATAACTTTCCTTATTTCTATTTATCGTGTGATTACTTTTTATATTGGGACATCCCTTCGTAAAATTTATGGCCGCCACTATGAAGGAGAAAGCTTATTAAGTGCTGGATGCTGTAGAGCAGAGGAAATTAGCAAGAAGGGACCCACTTTTGTCTTTTGTTTAATTTATTTATTACATGTAATAGCACTTCTATAATATTCGTATTGAAATTTGACTAATTCAAATACTCAAAAATCTCAGCAGAAACATTTCCTACCAAAGAATTTTTTTCATACTCAAAACTTAAAACAGGCCTCTAATTAAAAAAGAAATAACCACATTCATTTCCAATAGAACACTTATTTACATCTCCGTACGTGCCAATTTCATAATTTTATATTATTAAGAAAATGAAGGGAAAATATTTTATTTAAAGAGTGGTGGTGAAACTTCGATTCTGAAAATGTTGAAGGGTGTATGAAGGAAAAGTACTTTGTCGAAAAATAAATGATCTTTTTAATTTTCATATTGATATTTGATAAGAAAATAAAAAATATTACTTGTGGAAGGCGTAAATGCTAATACTTATCATCGACCCTGCTTAGAACGGTACATATTCTCACTAAAAAGGACAATTTAGCTAAATCAAATATAAGTTTTGAAGTTCATGAGTTTCTAACGATCTCATATTAAAAAAGAAACAAGAACTCTGTTATAAGTGCCCTTGGAAAATTGAACCCTCATGAATGAGAGCAACAAAGCTTAAGTGAGTTCCATTTTTTACCGCTGGACCAAGTACATACTTTGTTACTAGATTTTCAACACATATTTCTTATATATTTAATAGATTTCTCAATATAAAGATATTAGATTCCCGAAATCCCGCACTCAAAACCCTGCCCCAAAATAAAAGAAAGAACAAAACTAAAAGCCTGTGGGAAATGCCTTGAGTATATTTTGTTATTGTGTTTATTTATATTCAGAAAGTACACAGCAGATTAAAGAGGAAAATTCTACTCACAAGTCACAACTTCCGGGAAGCTGCAAAGGAGTGACTGTCTGGCTGATGGGGACGCATGAGCAGAGTCGTCCGTGACCCGACAATAAACATAGCTCTCTATGGCCCATATGTGTCTCTATCTCGTAAAAGAATTCAACTTATATTCAAAAATAATTTAACTATAAACTTCTCATTTTACGGACACAGGAAGGTAGGTAGTACTTTTCTTCCAAGTCACCAACTCAAACTGACCAAACAAGTGTCAACATGCAATTGGCTTTGTTATAAATTAAACGTGATAAGCCAATCTGCCAGACCTCGATTATTAGTTTCAAATTCACACACAAATCACAATGGGGACCTCATGCTCACGGGTAGGAGGAAGGCATATGCCCATATTACAATCACTCAAATTCAGGATATTTCTCACTCTTGTTTAATCAAAATCAGACATCCCTTTCAGCTAGCCAATATGCCAGCCCTATTTTTTATTCATTTTTTTACCCCTCTCACTAGATGCCCCCATTTTTGCTCCCTTGTGATTTGAACTCATCACATTCAAGTTGAAAGTGAAGGGTGTCTACCATCGGAGCAACTCTCTCTTGTCAAGAACAAGTTTGGCAATCAGGTAATGACCCATGTTTTTGGCGTGCTGTTTGAGTTTGACTTTACTGGCCGCAAATTTCTCATTTCTATTTAGGATTCTCCTCCCTTTACACATTGGCAGTTCATTATAGAAAATTTCATTCTTACAGTATTTTTATCATTAATAAAGAGAAGTAAAAACACAGGATTCGATAACATATTTACATAATCCGAAATGATATTTACTAGGCAGCTAGTATATATATATATATAGTAGATACAAAATTGGATCATCTATTAACCTTCACAGTAGACAATCATAGCTGTAACAAACTATATATATATAGTAGATACAAAATTGGATCATCTATTAACCTTCACAGTAGACAATCATAGCTGTAACAAACTACATAGGGCGGTAGAGAGGAGGATGATAGAAAAAGGTGGGGAAGAAAGCCAAACATATCATGACAACAAAAGGCTGACAACAGGCAACAAAATATAACCCTGAGAGATCACAAAATCACTGCCAACAAGTAAAGACTAAGAGAAAGATGGCAAAAAGTAATAGACAAAAAGGAAAGGTGAACATACCAAAATGAGGCGAAGGAAAATTTATCAACCAAGGGTTTCAAGATTGGTCCTTCCCCATAGCTTTTAACCTAGTGGGCAACCCCCACAAATTACTATTGCCTGTGCACTGGAGGACATTCACCACTCCATTGACCTTCCCCAGCTTGTGCCTCTGCCACTCTTCTCTTTGCAAAGAGCATGTGCAACATACACTTGCTTACCATTGATGAGCATACCATTTAACTTATCTATGGCACTTTGAGCGGATTCATCATTGTCAAATTGTACAAAACCATAACCCTTCGACTGGCCATTAGAATCAGTAACTATCTTGCAAGAAGGAATGTGGCCAAAGCTTGAAAAGGTGTCATGTAAAGCTTCGATGTCGATTGACTTGTCCAAATTCCTGATAAATAGATTAGCTGTTCTATTCTTAGGAGAATTAGGATCCCTATGAGAGCGCTTCACCCTAATGGACTTTCCATTAACAGGAGTGAAATCTAACATCTCCATTGCCCTTGCAGCATCCTGAGGGTTGCTGTAGTTGACGAAGCCATAGCCAAGGGATCTCCGAGTGCTAAAGTCCCTACAAATCCTAACCGATATAACCTGACCCGCTTGGTTAAACAGCTGGTACAGTTGTGTATCTGTCACGTTGATGTCCAAGTCTCCTATGTACAGAGACGTAGGCTTGAACTGGTTTGCAACACCACCTGGAACAGCTGTGGTGGCAGTGCTACCAGTAGCTGCGGCTGCTGCCACACCAATTCCTCTCGTCACTGGACTCCGATGCTGCACTTGAATCTGCACATAAGTATCCTCAGAACCTTCTAGAACAACAAAGTTTAGACTTCCATAGAAGCTTCCAAAACAAAAATGATACCTTTTTTTTCTTTTTCAGTTCCATCTCCTCTTGTAATTAATCAGTAATAAGGAAAAAACTCTAGAAGAGTAAAATGGAGGAGAGGAAAGGGTAAAATGGAGATAGGAATCACCGGAGAATAGAGCTGAAAGAAAATGAAGAGGACCCTTTTCAATTTTTTAGGGTAGAGAAAACTGTGCGGCAAGGAAATTAGTTGAATAGAAGCAGGGAAAACAAATGTCACCTTCTTTTCCGGCTTCTCTTCTTCTTCCTCTTCTTCCCCATCATAATACTCGGCATATTCATCGTCGTTGTCGTCGACATCATCATAATCATAATCATAATCATTGTCGTCATCGTTGTTGTCGTCCTCATAATCATCGTCGTCATCTTCATCATCATAATCATTGCCGTCTTCATCATGTTTAGCCTCACCAGTAAACCACAACACTGCTTGAGAGCTTATTTTGTTCCGAATTATTGAGCTGTGAATGGAAGCAGAAAATATAACATCACATTTACTCTTCTGATTCAAACAACGGCAACTTATGATGCATAGAACAAAAAGTGGAATTTATAAGGACAACAATATAAATAAAAGTGATCAACTCAAAAGGCAACATCCAAGCAAAGAGAAATGATCTACAGACCCAATTTCTTGCATATGATACGGGAGTTCTGTGACCTGTCAGAAATACATTTGGCTTAGTTATGACTTCAGATGAAATATTAGTACATTTAACAGTGAATGAATTAAGTCGAAGTTTAGGTACCGGTGGCTGTTTGAAAAAACTGAAAAAACTTTGACAATTGACAGTTCTGATCATTGGTTTAGCACTTATTAACCTCTTATTTGGATTGCATTTTACAATCTTCTTTGTCAAGCATTCTCCTGGAAACCATTCAATATCCGTCCTGTAACACCCACTCATCAAACAAACCAACACAAAAAGGATCATAAGATATCGAACCAAAATTATAAGACAGCAGAATTTACCATGTTCCGTCTTCTGCCATAGCCATATTTACCCTTTTGTGACAGGTCTTTGTCAATACAGAATTCTTGAAAAAGGGGTTTGTATCAAAAAAGAAATCAAACTTAAAACCCTTTGGATGATCGACCCTGCACCACTTAATATCCTTGAGGAATTTTAAAGCTTCTGCATCCCGCTTTGAGATGTAGATCTACCACAGAGTGACTTGCGGTCAGTTCAATCATCAATATATGGATTACTGCAAGAAACAATGATAACTTTAATTATTTACCTCCTCTTCATATTTCGCATAGGACTTCAATGCAGTCAGCCAGAAGTTGGGAACACCTTTCTCTGTATCAAAAGTTCATAACAACAAGATTAAAGCCCGTCTGCAATTAATTCTGCATGAATGTACCTATGTAAGAAAGAGCATGTCACAGTTTACCATCTCCTGTCCCCATATTATCACCTTTCACTTCAACAACACCATTTACTATTTCATATCTCTGCAAAGAAACCAGAAAATGATTAACCAGGATGGATTTCCAAAGAAATTTGAGTCAAAACAGCTGCAAGATTACTAACTTCTACAAAATAGAAATATTTCTTCCTTCTCTATTTTTCCTATCTCTTTCTTTTTCTTTTTTATTTGGGGTGGGGATTGGGGAGTGGCTGGCAAGCAGTTACGTTGATGGCACAAGTTGAGTTATCCTTTTCACCTTCAAGTTCAACGATCCATGCAGCTTCTCATATTTAGCTTCAAGTACAGCCTTCTCCTTCGAAAATAAAGCTTTAAGCCCATCACGTTCACTCTACAAACAGAAAATTCTGTCAATCTCTCTTTCTTCCTTTCGCAAGAGCAGTGAAAATGTACACAATGTTGGATGATCTAATACATGCAACAGAATGTGACATGAAAATCCAAGGACCAAAAGTTGGCATTGATAATGGGGACATGAAAGTAAAGAAAATTAATCATTACAATGAAAATTTATTCGTGTGTAAATGAAGTCATGCAAATTAAATATCTTTTGCTGGTCCGGGGAGATGGGAAGAGAAGACTGGCCTATAGCAGTATGTCACCTCCAGAAGTACAGTCATTAAATACAGCTTCTTATGGATTATCTGGTTGGAAAGGAATGAAAATTGCTTTAAAGGGATACCACAACACATTTCTTTGTCAAAACCAGATGTCTACAAAACTTGTATATTTGGTGGAATAGCTCTATGATAGATCATATGGCTCGGTAAATTAATTTTTGGGGATCTCTGTAGTGATGACTCAATATCCAAAGAAATTTGAGTCAAAACAGTTGCAAGGTACTAACTTCTACAAAATAGAAGTATCTCTTCCTTCTTTACTTTCCTATATGTTCCTTTTTCATTCTTTTTATTGGGGGCGGGGATTGGGGAGTGGCTGGGCAAGCAGATATTGTTGTCAAGACACATGAAGATGCAGAACAAATTGAATTAGCCTTTTTCACCTTCGTGTGCAACGATTCAAGCACTTTCTCATAACCGGCTTTAAGTACAGCCTTCTCCTCTGACAATAAAGCTTTCAGCGCAACAGGTTGACCCTACAAACGGAAAATTCTGTCAAGCTCTCTTTCTTCCTTTTGCAAGAGCAGTTAAAATCTACACAATATATTGGATGATCTAATACAAGCATCAGAATGTGACTTGAAATTATAGTATCTTAATTTAAGTATTCAGATCTTAATATTTGATTTTTTTCCATTAAAGTAACTTCTGGGCAATTATAGTATCTTCTTCCACTACCACTAACATAACATCTTAACTCAATGTCGATCGAACAACATCACATTAGTTGAATAATAAACCTGAAGGTTTCTCAAAGCCTCCACACGCTTCCTAACTTGTGGTGACAAAGTCTTAAGTATCGCCAAGGGACTCCCAACTAATTTCCGAATGTTATCCTACACATTTCCAATACAATAGAAATTACTACAATATACAAGAAAACAAAGTGAAATATTTGAACGAAAATAGAACAAAAACACATAAAAACGAACCAACCTTCCGTTCAATCTCCAACTCAGAACGATATTCAGCATACGAAGCTACATAGAAGTAAGACAAATAAGAATCAACACACAAAAGAAAACTGACAACAGTATAAAATAGTGCATTCGCTGCCTAGATTAGGAATTTACCGGCGGCATCGGCGGTGAATGGGTAGAGATGGGTCTGATATATGTTCAAATTAGTCATACTGAATGTGAAGAAAGAGAAACCCTAAGTCCCAAAATTTATAAGTGGGAGAGAAAAAGGAGGGAAACTCCAAAGAGATTTTCAAAAAGATACGGGGATGAGTGAGCGGGCCCAGAATCTGTCACGTCGTGAGAATAAAACTAACGAATTCAAGCTTGTGGAAGTTGTACCATGAGTTGTGGAGGTGGTACCTAGTCGTTGGGTTGCTGAGGAAACAACATTGGAGTTTCTTGGGGCTCACTTCCCGCATATGATCATGAAATTTTCACTTTTTTCGAGGTTTAACTTGGAAAAACACATTTAGCTAAAGAACTTCGAAATTCAACTTCTTCCGGATTTTGAAAAACAACAAAAATGCTTTCACTTTTTCCACTCCAAATTACTCACAAAAAGTCAAAACTTCAATTTGTATCCATAGCCAAACATAATCGATTTTCAAATATCATTTTTCACTTTAAAAACAAAACTACTTTTTTCAAATTTACACAATGAACAATGGGCAGATCACTCCCAAACACTTACATTAGTGGATGGAAGTTTGGAGTTTGCAGAAACAAATGCTAACTAGGAGGAGAAGAACTTTGAAGAAGATAGTAATTCGGTGTAGGCTGGTTGGTTTATATAGGCTATAAATCTAAATGGGTCATTGAAATCATCAAATAAATTAGTCATTAAAGAGAAAATGAATCTACACACGTTCTTGCAGACTTGTTTTTACACACAATTTTCTTGAAAAATCAGATTTTGGATTAGGCATCACATACATCTCACGCAAGAGGGGTCAAATCAACCTGTGTTTTGTCTTGTAAGTCCAATTCTCATTTATACGAGACCACTCCCTTGTACTAGCTCTTTACAATCCCTAGGGAAAACAATTCAATACAAGGAGAAGAAAAGTTTTTTTCCACAACCAATGAGAGACACTTTGTCTTTCACGTACGATAAGGGAAGAATAAACAAAAAGGAGTCCACAAAAATAAAGAGTAGGAAAAGAGTTATTTTCTTGTTTGCATTTTCAAAACCAGAAGACAGACCAATTCCAACATTGTTGTCATTGTAAAGCTTTGTTGTCAATTGACTTGTCCGAACTCCTGATAAATATATCTGCTGTTCATTCTTAGGAAAACTGGAATTCATATGGACTTTCCATTAACAGGAGTGGTATCCACTATGATGTTGATATCCAACATGATGATGATCATAATCATCCTCACTGTCGTCGTCTTCTTCAAAATTGTCTTGCCTCGTTACATGTCGAGTAAAATGATATTCCATTTTCTTAGAGTCTTCTTTTTCAGCTACACCACGAGTAAACCACTTCACTGCTTGAGGGATTATTTTGTTCCGAAATATTGAGCTGCGAATGGAAGCAGAAAATATAACATCAAATATACTCTTCTAATTCAAACAATAGCAACTTATGATGTGTAGAACAAAAGTGGAATTTAAAAGGACAGTCTAAATAAAGTGAATTTGTACTAGAGGCACAATCCAAGCAAAGAAGAAATGTGCAGACCCAATTTCATAATCTTCTTGCATATGACACTGGAGTCCTGTAACCTGTGAGAAATACATTTGGCTTAGTTATGATATCAGATGAAAAGTTGGTACATTTAACAGTAAATGAATAAAGTAGAAGTTTAGGTACCGGTGGCGGTTTGAAAAAATTGAAAAAGTCTTCCCAATCCACATTCCTGATCATGGGCTTAGCATTTTTTAACTTCTTATTTGGATTGCATTTTACTATCCTCTTTGTCAAGCATTTTCCTGGATACCATTCAATATCCGTCCTGCAACGCATCCCACACATCAAACAAACCAACACAAAAAGGATCATAAGATATCAAACCAAAGTAACAAGACAGAAGAATTTACCATGTTATGTTATTTGCCATATCCTTTTTTATCCTTTTGTGACAAGTCTTTGTCAACACAGAATTCTTGAAAAAAGGGTTTGTATCGAAGAAGAAATCAAGCTTAAAACCCTTTGGATGATCGACTGTACAACACTTGATATCCTTGAGGTACTTTAAAGCTTCTTCATCCCGCGGTGAGATGTTCATCTGCAACAGTGTTTTGCAGTCAGTTCAATCATCAATACAACAGAGTACTGCAAGAAATGATGATATTACCTCATCTTCGTATATCTCAAAGGCCTTCATTGCAGTCAACCAGAAGTTGGGAACACCTTTCTCTGTACAAAAGTTCACAACAAAAGATTAAATCCCGTCTGCAATTAATTCTGCATGAATGTAACTATGTAAGAAAGAGCATGTCACAGTTTACCATCTCCTGTCCCCATATTATCACCTTCTACTTCAACAATACCATTCACTATTTCATATCTCTGCGAAGAAACAGGAAAATGATAAACCAGGATGGATATTCAAAGAAATTTGAATCAAAACAGCTGCAAGGTTACTAACTTCAACAAAATAGAAGTATTTCTTTCTTCTATACTTTCATATCTCTTTCATATTCTTTTTATTTATTTATTTTATTTCGGATGGGGACTGGGGAATGGCTGGCGAGCAGTTACATTTGTCAAGACACAAGTTGATTTATCCTTTTCACCTTCATGTGCAACGATTCTGGCAGCTTCTCATATTTGGCTTCAAGTACAGCCTTCTCCTTCGAAAATAAAGCTTGTAGTGCATCGCGTTCACTCTACAAAGAGAAAATTCTTTCAATCTCTCTTTCTTTATTTTGCAAAAGCAGTGAAAATGTACAAAATATTGGATGATCTAATACAGGCAACAGAATGTGACATGAAATTCCAAGGACCAAAAAGTTGGCATTGAAAATAAGGACCTAGTAAAGCAAATTAACCATTAGAATGAAAATTTGCTCATGTATAAACGTAGTCATGCAAGTTAAATATCTTTTGCTGGTCCGAGGGAGACGGGGGAAAGAATGGTCTATAACAGTGTGCCTCCTCTAGAAATACAATCATTAAATACAGCTTCTTGTGGATTACCTGGTTGGAAAGGAATAAAAATTGTTTTGAAAGGGATACTGCAACGCATTTCTTTGTCAAAACCAGATGTCTACTAAACTTGCATGTTTGGTGCAATAGCTCTATGATAGATACTATGGCTCAGTATATTAAATTTTTGGAATCTCTCTAGTGATGACTCAATATCCAAAGAAGTTTTAGTCAAAACAGGTGCAAGGTACTAACTTCTAACTTCTACAAAATAGAAGTATCTCTTTCCTTTCTCTTTCTTTATGTTTTTCTATTCTTGGGGAGGGATTGGGGAGTGGCTGGGCGAGCAGATATTGTTGTCAAGACACATGAAGACGCAGAACAAGTTGAATTATCCTTTTCACCTTCGTGTGCAATGATTCATGCAGCTTCTCATAACCAGCTTTAAGTACAGCCTTCTCCTCCGACAATAAAGCTTTCAGCGCAGCAAGTTGACCCTACGAACAGAAAATTCTGTCAAGCTCTCTTTCTTCTTTTTGCAAGAGCAGTTAAAATATACATAATATATTGGATGATCTAACACCAATAAAACGTGACACGCAAATACACCAAAAAAGTTGGATTGAAAATAAGGACTTATAGTAAAGCAAATCAATCATTACTTTGGGAATTTATTCATGTACAAACGTAATCCTGCAAATTAAACATCATTTGTTGGGCCGGGGGAAGATAGGGAGGAAAGAACGGCCTAATAACAGTGCGTCTCCTCCAGAAATACAGTCATTATATACAGTTTCATCAACCAAACTTTTGTGACACATTTAACTCAAAGAGACGTATAAGCCAATATATATGATCAGCTTTCTTCTTTCCTCCCTGGTCCCCTCTTAGATTAGCGATTATAGTTTAATAACTTCCAAACGAGGAAAACACAGAAGGCAGGAAATAGTAAACACATTAACTAAGACATACTTCATCCAACACATATACACAATAACTACGAAACTTCAATGTAGGGGTGTCAAATGCGTGATTTGGTTGAATTTGGGCAGGTAAAAAATATACTGGATTGATAAATGGACAGGTTCTTAACCCACCCAAAGGCTGAGATGAGATGAATCAAGATGGGGTAAACAATGGTCATTGCCCAACTCGCCCTACTTTTACCAAGTTTTAATTTTTTTTTGCTTGTTTCTTATACTAATTTATTTATAAGAAGTTATTGCATCTTCTTCCACTACCACTAATACAACATCTTAACTCAGTATCGATCAAACAACATCACATTAATTGAAACATATGAATAACAAAACCTGAAGGTTTTTCAAAGCCTCCACACGCTTCCAAACTTGTGGTGACAAACTCTTAAGTTTAGGTAAGGTACTCCCACTGAATTTCCGAAGGTTATCCTACACATTTCCAAAAGAGAAAACAAAGTGAAATGTTTCAACTAAAAATAGAATGAACCAGAACAAAACCACCAAAAAAAAAGAACCAACCTTCTGTTTAATCTCCAACCCAGCACGATATTCAGCATATGAAGCTACATAGAATTAAGACAAATAAGAATCACTTGGATCCAAAAGCCATGAACAAACAAAACAATGTAAAGGTTAAAAATGTATGTAGAGAGATGCATTCGCTGCCTGGATTGGGAACTTACCAGCAGCATCGGCGGTGAATGGGTAAAGATGGGACTGATATATGTCCAAATTACTCATACTGAATGTGAAGAAAAGGAAACCCTAAGTCCCAAAATTTATAAGTGGAGGAGGAAAGGGAGGGAAAAAGCAAAGTGATTTTCAAAAATATGTGGAATGAATGAGTGGGCCATATAAACTAAGGAATTCAAGCTTGTTGAAGCTGTACTACGAGTTGTAGAGGTGGTACCCCGTACCTAGCCGTTGGGTTGCTGAGAAAAGATTATGATATGAAGTTGCGGGAATTAAGGCCGATTATATTTTTATTTCTTTCATTTTACTCCTCCTTAGTTGAGTTAATTAGTTCCGACTTCCGTCCATAGTATGTAGTTAACCTTGGCACATTAACTTTGAAAAAAATTATGTATACATCATAGATTTCATTAGGCACCCTAATACAAGAGCAAATTTGGTGCTGAATTCACCAGAGCTCACAGTAATAGTTAAGTTCAAATTTTGAAAATATTAAAACAGAAGCAACAAGTTGACTATTGAAGCATCGATTGGTTCCTAAATCATATTAGCTTGT